GTTCCCAATGCATTTGTGTGTATGGAAATAAAAGCTATTAGAAGGATTTTGAGCTTTATTCACTTTTTTCAACACACTGCTATTATTTTGAACACAACTGTAGTTAATATAAAGATCTGTCCTCAAGGGCTCAGTGATCATCAGAAGATTCAATTTTGTTTTTACTGAATTTTTGTTGGACTTTCAGTCCCCTTTTCACACTACTGTGGTGTGATGCCAGGCATCAGACATATGTGTTTTGTGTGTTGTCATTCATTTCAATGTGCTGCCCTACATGTGACAAAAACAGCAAATAAGCTCAAGTATCGTTTTGAGCTTCGCATGTTTTTTATCAGCACATTTTTTTGCACTTGACCAACTGTGCTTGGCACATTTTGGGTGCCATTAATGATGAATTTGTTTTTGCTGTGTTTCATGCAATTTTGCACATGTTCATGTGCAGTTAACCAACTAGTTGTGTACCTTATTAACTCCCATCTGCAACTGGAAGGATGACTGGGCATATTTTTAACCCTCTTTGCCTGCAGGACCTGCAGTACCTGCAGCCTTTAACGTATTCTAAATATACTGATTCTAAATATACTTTTTTCCTGTTACTAACGATAAGCTGACATTCAGGTTTCTGTACACACTGCTATCTCCCCCAACCCCAGAAGAAGTAGCATGTCACAAAATTGCAAAACAAAAAAAAAAAAAATATATAGTCAGCCTGTCAAAGTCTATAGCAGACTGTAGCTTGATGGGGCTGGTTGCTGTATCAGGTGGTACCAGCATTTAGAACCCTGTGAATTCAGGGACAAAGGTGTGGAAAGCAGAAGACCTGCATTCTGGACCTTCATTCCTGAATGCCCAGGGCCCTAAAAACCTGTCCCTCTTGGTCATACTAAAACACTGGGAATGACACAATACGGCTAGATGGCCCCATGTGCAAGAGGCAAAACTTGCATGAAAACACAATTATTTTTCATGTATTGAGAAAACCCCTTTCAATGGATTCATGTATTAGGCCACGTTTATAGCAAAGGATGATTCCTCTGGATGAAGTTTGTGATGCATATAAAAAATGCCGTAAGCCACATTCTATGCAATGGGAACTACTATTTGTATTGATAAACAATATGCTAAAGGGAGAATATAGTGTACAGTATATGGCCAAAACGTTATGAAGACTAAACATTGAATCTGTATGAGCTTATTGGACATCCCATTCCAAAACCATGGGCATTAATATGGAGTTGGCACCCCCCCTGTGTTTATAACAGCCGCCACTTTTCTGAGAAAGCTTTCCACAAGTTTTTTTAAATGTTTGTGGGAATTGTGGCCAATTTAGAAATTTATAATTATGAGGTCCAGTACTGTTCTTGGGTGAGAAGACCTGTCTTGCAATCAAATTTCCAATTCATCCCAAATGTTTGGTAGGATTGAGGTCAGTGCTTTGTGCAGGCCATTCAAAGTTCTTCACAAAAAACATGACACGCCATGAATTTACGGATTTATGGACAGTTATACTAGAACAGAAAAGGACCTTCTCCAAACTGCTGTCACAAAGTTAGAAGTCCAAAATTGTCGAAAATGCCATTGTAGGCAGTAGCATTCAAGCTGAATTACAGGCAAGCAGCTAATACACAGATGATATACCTGATACCTGTTCTACCTGCCAAAGGATTTGCATTTTTGTCTATCCAGTCCTGAGATTTACACAGCTGTACCACACAGCACAGTCCTGCCTGGCGGTTGAGGGGACTGGACTTTTCTTTGCTATGGTTTCCTTATTACTTATAAATCTCTTCCCAACCCCCACCCTGAGACTAGACAGTGAAATGGTAGCAGCACACCGATAATCTCATCTCTCTGTCATGCTGTCTACTCCTATCTGCATCCTCCTCTGGGGCGTATTTATCACAAGGAAATCAAGGCATTTGCCTAGGGCGGCATATTTCAGGGGGGCAGCAGCTCCCCCTTGAAGAAGGGACATGCGCGCCATGGGAACCAGGTGGGATCTGAGAGAGGCTGCGGGCTGCTTGATGGTGTATGCAGAACCTGACTCTCATTCCCGGCGATGTCTGGGGGTGTGAAGATGAGTGTCTTTCTCCCTATCACTGGGGAGGGGGGGGTAGTGGAAGGCTTTCCCGTGTGGGGGGCAGGGGTGCTGTAGGTCAATGTCAGGCTCTCTCCACGGGAGGGGGAAGGGGGGGAGTGTTGGCCCATGTCTGTGGGGGCAGATGATTTTTGTGTTGCCTAGGGCAGCACAAAACCTAAATACACCACTGATCCTCCTTTCACTACAACAGCTTGGTGGCTCTTTGTGCTGATTCTCTTTCCCTCAGTCTGAGCTCTGCATGGATTGCAAGAGGCGTCAGTGCAAATATTAATATTTAAGCTACAAACATGTCGTTAGTGCTATTAGCAATTTGTTTAAGGCATAACAAAAGCCAAAAATGTATTTCTCCATTTACATGAAATTCAGGTTAATATAACCCAGTACAGAGTTCACCTTTACATCAGATTTTGCAGGGTTCCTTTTTACGGTGCAAGGGAGAATTTTACGGACCCTGCTGTAAAAGGAAACTATGCGGGGCCTGATGTAAAGGAGAACTCTGAGGACTCTGATGTAAGGGGGAATGCTGCAGACTCTGGTCACCAGAGCCCCCCCTTACATAAGGGTTCACAGAGCTCCCCTAAATATCAGACTCCACAGAGTTCTCTTTTACATCACAGTCCACAAAGTTCTCTCTTACATGAGTCCACAGAGGTCCCCTTTACATCAGGGTCTGCAGAGTTCCCCTGTGCACTGTAAGGGGAAATCCTACAAACTGATGTAAGCAGGAATTCCGGAAACAGACAACCTTCCGCAGAGTTAATACACTAAAGTAAGAGAGCGTTACTGATATAAGGAGAAACTGCTGTCACTGAGGGGAGCTGCCTGTCACTGACCTCCTCCATTGCTGGCTCGAAGAAGGGCAGTCAGGCACAGTCCTCTCATTACCACTTCTGTCATCTTCACCAGGTTCTCCTCCAAAGTCCATGTCCAGATCTCCAGTCAGTGACATAGTCCCGACTGAGGAAGGCGGCGGGCCATCACTCACCTTTGTACCACCCATTCCATTACTCATCTCTGCACCCCTCCCCTTTCCACCACTCATCTCTGTACATCACTCACCTCTGTACCCCCCATTCCATTACTCATCTCTGCACCCCCCCTTTCCACCACTCATCTCTGTACTTCCCATTCTGCCACTCACCTCTGCACCCCCCCTCCCCATTCCACCACTCATCTCTGTACTCCCTATTCCAACACTCACCTCTGGAGGCATCTTCCCGTCATTGTGTGTGTGTGTGTGTGGGGGGGGGTCTCTTTCCCCCTCCCCCTTTATGGACTTTCACTGCTCTCCCTTCTCTTTGTCTGCCCCCTCATCTCACCCCAATAAAGAGTGCAGAAGGAGATGAAATTATTAAAATACCCCAAAATACCTCCAACACCCAACCCATCCTCATACAGTACAGCAGATATATTCCATCATCTCCATCCTCTGTATTCTACAATCATATCCATCCTCTGAGCCACCATGTACAAATACAATTACAAATTATACACTGTAAAATATTAATACACATTGATAAGAAAATTGCCATTAAGCAGATCCAATTTACATGTATACCTAAAAATAGTTATTTTTCCTTAAAAAAATCTAGCATTCTGCAATTCTGACACATTTAATGCTGAGTACAGGGAAAGTCTTCTGAAAACGAATGCCTTTCACAGCTCTGAAATGGCTGTGAAAATGCAGGTTTGAAAGCATTAAGGTGTGTATCAAGTCTTAGCAGAGCCAAACCAGACCTTTGAGCCTTGGAAAAAGTTCAACAACAACTATTACCCTGTCATCCCGAAACAATGAACTGCACTACAGAAATCAGTAGGAGTCATCTAGGAAGGATATATAAATACCTCGCCTCATAAAGCAAGATCCTAATTTGAATGCATAAAGCAACTTATCATAATCAACACCCCATGCTTACTGTCCAATCAAGCCTAAATGCCATTGTACAAATGGGGCTCCATTCAAAAGACACTACAAAACTCTGTATCCACTAATGGAGAAATATATTTACTTTCCACAAACAGTTCTTATGCATGTATCTTATTTAGTGCTTCCTTTCATAAATGTACCAGGAAACATAAAGGAGAAGTGGAGCCAAAGCTTGTTCTGCACGCTGATGACTCGTTTTTAGCCGAGGGCTAAAGTCCACTGTCTGCTGATGCCATTCAACCGGTCCAGGCTGGGGAAAGTTCCTGACTTTAAAGTCGGGATCCACCCAGATGTCTGGAATGGCAGCTGGCTTAGCCGCTCCTGCTCTTGCCCCCTCTACAGCCCAGGGCTCCAATGAGCTTGGGAAGGTGGGGGTGAAAACCAGTCACCAGCTCTATGCTCACAGAGCACTCGGTCCTAGAGCCAGTGGGGGACAGATGCAGCATCGGACTGATGCTGAATCCACCTAGGTATTATTTCTAAAAAAAAAAAAAAAAAAAAACTAAGTACATTTCTCTTTTAACCACTTACCCTCCTGAGGATTTACCACTGTAATGGAAGCATAGGCAGGACAGAGCACACGGAGAAGATGGGGAACACACAAAACTTTATTGAAGCAACAAAAGGACAGACACTCAATGGGGAAATGGCAGGGAGGGTGATGTGTGCGCAAACCAGGGACGATTCCAGGCATGGGGGGTCTTCAGCGACAGGCAGGCAGTCTCCCCCATAGGCTTGGGGCCTCAGCCGAGCTCCCTCCGTGACTGGACAGCGGATTGGAGACTCGGGCAACAGGCGGCAACCTACCACTGGGCAGGGGCCTCGGGCAACAGGCGGCAATCTACCACTGGGCAGGGGCCTCGGGCAAAAAGCGGCAACCTACCACTGGGCAGGGCCTCGGGCAACAGGCGGCAACCTACCACTGGGCAGGGGCCTCGGGCAACAGGCAGCAACCTACCACTGGGCAGGGGCCTCGGGCAACAGGTGGCAATCTACCCCTGGGCAGGGGCTTGGGCAACAGGCAGCAACCTACCACTGGGAAGGGGCCTTGGGCAACAGGCGGCAACCTACCACTGGGCAGGGGCCTCGGGCAACAGGTGGCAACCTACCACTGGGCAGGGGCCTCGGGCAACAGGCGGCAACCTACCACTGGGCAGGGGCCTCGGGCAACAGGCGGCAATCTACCCCTGGGCAGGGGTCTCGGGCAACAGGCGGCAATCTACCCCTGGGCAGGGGTCTTGGGCAACAGGCGGCAATCTACCACTGGGCAGGGTACTCAACGGGACTCTAGCTGTGGAGTCTGGCCTCAGCACAGCTCCCACCCAGCTTTCTAGGGTCATTGGGTTCACGGGGACTCAACGGGTAGCGATGGCTCAAGCACTCAGGGGCACCACAGGTAGCTATACTCCGGGCATGCCATCAGGACACGGGTGGTCAGTGCACACACAGCGGGGCAGTTCGGAACACGGGTGGTCGGTGCACACAGCAGGGACAGTTCAGGACACAAGTGGTCGTGTGCACACCGGGGACAGTTCAGGACACGGGTGGTCGGTGCACACAGCGGGGACAGTTCAGGACACGGGTGGTCGGTGCACACAACAGGGACAGTTCAGGACACGGGTGGTCGGTGCACACAGCGGGGAATAGTTCAGGACACGGGTGGTCGGTGCACACAACAGGGACAGTTCAGGACACGGGTGGTCGGTGCACACAGCGGGGATAGTTCAGGACACGGGTGGTCGGTGCACACAGCGGGGACAGTTCAGGACACTCACGGTAAGCAGCTTGCAGACCCTCAGCGGCAGGCGGCTCCAGACAGGGACGACCAGCAGTAAGCGTTCCAGGGACAACCAGCGATCAGCAGAGCAGCAGCAGCTCCCAGGGCACTCAGCAGCGGACAGCTTCCAGGGACACACAGCCATGGACAGTGTGCAGGGTCCCTCAGCAACAGCTCCCAGGGCACTCAGCAGCAGACAGCCTCCAGGGACACGCAGCCACGGACAGTGTGCAGGGTCCCTCAGCAGCAGCTCCCAGGGCACTCAGCAGCAGACAGCCTCCAGGGACACGCAGCCACGGATAGTATGCAGGCTCCCTCAGCAGCAGCAGCAAGGGTGCTCAGTAGACAGGCTTACAGACTTGCAGGGTCTCAGCTGTGGGGTCTGACCTTTGAGGGGAAGGCTCATGCAGAGCTGTGGAGACTCCCAACCCAGGGGTATTGCAGAGGGCTACAGTCCTGACCTTTTGGGGGTCTGCAGAGTGCGCAGGGGGGATGGCTGGGGAGGCTCGGTCCCCCTCACCCGAGCCTCCCAGCATCTTTCTGGGAGCAAGATGATTCCAGCAGCATGGACAGGAACAGAGAGAGAAGGGCTGCTTCCTGTGCGGGGCTTTTGAAGACCATGTGGGACGCGGCTAGGTTGCCTCGGCAACGGCCGGCCCAGCCCTGTCCATGGAAGCCCCACAGACTTCGGAATGTGCAAGGGGGAAGGGAGGGGTGGAGTGATATGGCGGGGGATGGGAGAGGCACTGGCAGTCCGTGACAACCCCCCTTCCTGACCAGGCCATTTTTTGTGTTATGGCGCTGCGTTACTTTAACTGACAATTGCACGGTCATGCAACAGTGCACCCAAATTACATTTAATTCCATTTTTTCCCTCAAATTGTGCTTTCTTTCGGTATTTGATCGACTGTGCGGTTTTTATTTTTTGCGCTATAAAAAAAAAAGACTGACAATTTTGAAAAAAAACAATATTTTTGACTTTTTTTGCTAAAATCCCAATACGTGTAAATTAATTGGTTTACGTGAAAGTCATAGCATTTACAAATGGCGGTATAGATACTGGAATTAGTTTTGTTTTTTTTCTATTTTTACTAATAATGGCGGCAATCAGCGACTTATAGCGGGACTGCGGTGGGCATTCTGACACTGGGGGAACTGACTTGATGTCACTGACATCCCCAGTGACACCAATACAGTGATCAGTGCTAAAAAAAAAAGCACTGACACTGTACTAATGGCACTGGGCAGGAAGGGGTTAACATGAGGGGAGATCAAGGGGTTAACTGTGTGCTGTTTTACTAGGGTCTGTGTGTCTATGCTTCACTGTAACCACACTGTTTTGGATGGCTGTGCTTTGCAGCGTGCACAAGGTGACAGGGAGGAGAACTGTATTGTTTACATATAGTTCTCCTCCCCATCAGAGATGCTTGGCAATCACCAGGTGCTAGCAAGTAATCACCGGCCGGGACCCGGTGATTGACAGCCGCTGCCGCGAATGGCAGCGTGGGTAGGGGGCACCTACCCAGAAATGCAAAATCACGTATATATATATATATATATATATATATATATATATATGCTATATATATATATATATATATCTGCTATAGGGCAGTCAGGAAGCGGTTAAAGCTGCTCATACCCAGTAAGTTTTTTTTCTTCATTCAGCCATTGGGCTAAACAAAAAAAGAAAAAAACTAAAAATTTCCCCTTTGACGCAAATGAAGGAATCCCCCGCCAGGTCATTGTATTCTGTTCCCGCTACTGTCAGAACACTGATTGAGAAAAGTTTCCAATATGCTTCTTCAAAAGACTTCTGTCGAGTGGGGATGGCCGAAAACCAATTGAAATTTGGCCAGTCCCTGCTGAACTGGCTGAATTTTGATCAGTGTATGACCAGAATAATATCTGTTAACCTTCCAGAAATCCAGTGTGCTCCAAATTATTGTTGGGGCTGACTACAGGACTACAAGCACTGCTTTTGGTGCAGTCTGGTGCAATTTCAGCCCATTCAAATGCACCCGGATCACATGTGAATCACAGTGCGTTCCTGTACAGTTCATGGTGTGAATCGGCCTTCGTCCTGGAAAAAGGAGATCTAAAACATTTCTCTCAAATAATTTAGCTGCAAATTTATGTAAGGATTCTGAGGTGTAGCCTTTGTCATTTGGGAACGGCTGGGCCTTGGTCAGTTCAAGGTGTACCTCTACTTGACCACACAGGCAGTTATTTATATTGTGGCCCACATTGTCTCCATTTCATTCCTATCTTATCTTATCTGCCCCCATTTAGGATAAAAAGAAATGTGCTAGACCCTCAGTGCATGCAGGACTGAGCAGAGATCTCAGGGATCAGCTGTGATCAGTTGCTCACCACAAGTGAAGTCTCAATCCTAGAAGCTCAAGGAGGTATGGATATAATGTTATGAATTGCTTTTACAGAGCTGGGTTATCATTGACCCAGAAACAAAAGTGTTGCATGGGGCTCCCTGCTAGGGTCGCCACCTCATCCCTTTAAAAACCCAACACATATTAATTACACAGGTTCTGTGGCTGATTAAGGTGGTAATTAAACTCCCTTAGTGCCTTATCTGCGTTAAATTAGCCACAGAACATGTGTAATTAATACATGTTCAGTTTTAAAGGGACGAGGTGGCAACCCTACCCTCTGCCAGGGAAATGGTGAATTCATGAGGCCAAAGCCACAAGGCAATCTAGTTGGGAACCTAGGGCCTAATTGATGTCCAAAGGGTCCAACTATAACCTTCATGATACTGCAATCCACAAAACACAATTGGTGAAAGCTGTTCTGACTGCCTGTCACTTCAAAGAAGGAAAAGTTGATAAGAAACATCCTGTATATTTCGATGTTGCTATACTTCAGCAACCGACTGTTAAGTTGGCCATACACTGCAGGCAGAACGGAAAATTTCTCTTAGGGCTTGTTTAGACTCATGTTTCCTGCTGAAGAGTGATCTGTGGTTGATCTCTCTTCAATTGGTGTTTGACAAGTGGTAAGGAGGCATTATATCATCTCCTTACCACCTGTTATCACCCCTAAAAAACCTGTACCACCACAATATTCGGTCACATGCTACATTCGGCAGGCAGTACTTCCCCGCTGAGCATGATGGGGGGATTTTTTCTGAGCACATGTACATCCCCATTCACTGCCTTTGCAGCTTAAGGGGGAGCAATTTTGGCCAGGGGCAATTGGGCCAAAAAAAATGCGTGTGACTGTCTTTTTAACTACCCCAACGCATGTGTAAATGAGAGCTTCCTGTATGGCCAGGTGTCAGTAATACAGTTGTACATGTTTTCATTTAAAAATCATTAAATGTAGTTTTAAATGCAACAAGTCTTAATATCTGATTTTGACTTAGTATCATCCTCTTGTAATTCCCATTATAGCAGCACAAGAAGGGATGCTGACTCCTGAAACGCATATCCCAGGTGCTTCTGCGGGTGGTGGATCTCACAGCACTGTCATTGTACTGTTCCTGTGGTGCTCCTTGTGGTTCCGGCTTTGGCTAGAGTGGCTTAGGCAGCTCTCATTTTCGGCAGCTGCACTAGCTCCTACAGTGGTGGGTATCCTTTCCGGATCCAACGGTTTGCCCGACCCAGTATTTATTAATCCAGGGTCCAGAACTTTTACTGCCAGACATGCCTTAATCCGTCCATACTTGTGAGTGCATTACTATTGTTTTTATTGCCTACTTAATAAAACTAGTTTTTTTTAATAAAACTATTTTTGCTAAAATATATAGCGGTTTGGCGCCCCTCTCTTCTTCCTTTATGTCTTTCCAGGCAACTGAAAGTAATGTCACATGGAGGCAATCATATTTGAAATAATCACAGATTCACAGGACACTTAACACTGAGGTAATAGCCATTATGTTTCAAAATAGTCATGACTCGGACATATTCCTGTCCTGATAAACGTTAGTAAAATCAGTGGAATAGCTATTTACCTATTCAGTGATATCAAAGAACAACCTACTGTATCTCACAGAAGTGAGTACACCCCTCACATTTTTGTAAATATTTTATTATATCTTTTCTTGTGACAACCCTGAAGAAATGACACTTTGCTACAATGTAAAGTAGTGAGTGTACAGCTTGTATAACAGTGTAAATTTGCTGTCCACTCAAAACAACTCAACACACAGCCATTAATGTCTAAACCGCTGAAAACAAAAGTGAGTACACCCCTAAGTGAAAATGTCCAATTTGGGCCCAATGTGTCAATATTTTGTGTGGCCACCATTATTTTCCAGCACTGCCTTAACCCTCTTGGGCATGTAGTTCACCAGAGCTTCACAGGTTGCCACTGGAGTCCTCTTCCACTCCTACATGACGACATCACGGAGCTGGTGGATGTTAGAGACCTTGTGCTCCTCCACCTTCTGTTTGAAGATGCCCCACAGATGCTAAATAGGGTTTAGGTCTGGAGACCAGTCCATCACCTTTACCCTCAGCTTCTTTAGCATGCAGTGGTCGTCTTGGAGGTGTGTTTGGGGTCGTTATCATGTTGGAATACTGCCCTGTGGCCCAGTCTCCGAAGGGAGAGGATCATACTCTGCTTCAGTATGTCACGATACATGTTGGCATTCATGGTTCTCAAAATGAACTGTAGCTCCTCAGTGCTGATAGCACTCTTGCAGCCCCTGACCATGACACTCCCACCACCATGCTTGACTGTAGGCAAGAAACACTTGTCTTTGCACTCCTCACCTGGTTGCCGCCACACACGCTTGATACCATCTGAACCAAATAAGTTTATCTTGGTCTCATCAGACCACATGACATGGTTTCAGTAATCCATCTTCTTAGTCTGCTTGTCTTCAGCAAACTGTTCGCGGGCTTTCTTGTGCATCAT